AATAAAAATAAAGATCTGTTAAGAAAAAAATGATATTAAAAAAAAAGTTGTATTAAAAAAAAAATGATAATAAAAAAAAACTTGTATTAAGATTAAAATTCTATTAAAAAAAAGTTGTAAGAAAAGTAAATTTATTTTATTTTTATTAGTATTTTATTTGATTTGTATGAAGATTGATTATTTTTTTTAAGGGAATATTAAAGATGAAACATTTTTTTTTATGAATATTTATAATTATAATCATATTTATAAATTTTAATTATTAAAAATTTAATAATTATTTAAAATTTTTATGATTTTTGTTATTTTTATATATTTATATTATTAAGATGATATTACGATTAATAATTGAATAAGTATATTAAAAAAAAAAGAGAAGGTAAAAGATAAGTTGACTGTATGAATATTATGACATAGTACAAATTTTATAAAAATTTTATTGTTGAATTTTATAATATTTATTTTGAATATGCATGTTGTGAGGAAAAGGGTAAAGGTTATGTTTAAAGGATATAAATTTATTATGATTATAGTTATTGGTCGTTTGTTGATTTAAATTTTTTGTAATTCTATTTGTTCAGCATGGATTAATTAAATTCTGGTTATCGGTATATATTTAGTGCTTACTTTTAAGATTATTTATTTTAAAGTAAACAATTTTATTTTTATTTATTATACATTTGTGCATGTTTTATTAACTGGGTGTTCGGTGACTTTACCGGAGTACCGAACAAACCAATTAATAAAGAGCATGTAGAGGTGTCTCTACTATTTTGTTGTATTTATACGTATTTTATATGCTTTGAACGAGTAACTCTTAACTATGTGCTCTACTTCGTTCAACCTTCTTTACTTTTAATAGGCTTTTATTTACTTTAATAAAAATCCTTATTTTTATTAAAAATTTAAATTCTTATTGAATATTGACTAATAATTAAATGTAACTTAATTATTTCTTTGTTGTGAGTTATATTCAGCAATTTACATATATTACTGTTGAATTCGCAAACATAATTGTTAAAAATGCAAATTAATTATATGAATATTAATTACATGAAAATTGTATTGTCATATGTATAAAATTTTCACTCATAAATTCAAAATATAAATATTATGTAAATTAAACTCTTTCACAAAAAATTATTATCTTTTGTTAAAAAAAAAATCTCTCTCTTCCCAAAAAAAAAAATTAAATCTTTTTATTTTTTTTTTATTTTTTTATCTTTATCCTCTTAAAAAGAAACATTTCTCAAAAAAAAATTCCAATAATTTTTTTTTTTTTTTTTTTTTTTTCTCGCGTTAGCACAACAAACTACGTATTCTTCATATAGCTAGTTCTTTTTATTACCAGAAAGGTTAATGAAGCCTTTTATTAACCATATATCTAAATATATACCTTTTTTTTTTAATTTTTCCAGATATATATTAAAAAATACTTTCCTGTTCTTTTTCCATTACTCCTTTTTACATTTGTCTATTATTATTATATATGTTTCTATTATAATCCTCGATTTTAATTTTTCTCTTATTATCGCAATATCACTTTTTGTTTTTATATTAATTTCTTTTTCTTCTGATTTTTCTGTAAGTGCGTTACTTAGGTTATTTTCAAATACAATGCTGCATAATGAATTATTTGTTCTGTTACATACATTATTGAGTTGAATATTACTTTCTAGTAATTCATATGGAATATCTGAAGGCGTTATTATAAAATTCATTGAATTTCCTTTCTGATATTTCTTTTTGTATGTTTTTTCTTTTTCTTTGATGCTTTACCAGGTAAAAATCTAATAGGATTATACTGTTATATAAATAGAAAATTTTAAGTATATAATATATACATTTTTAATGACAATATGACAATAAATAAGACAAATGATTAAAAGGAATTCAGTAATATATATATATAATAATTTTATTTTACCTTATAATGAATAATGAAAAGGAAAATAATTAACAAAAGTGATGCACCAACTAGAAAGGCAATTAACAGAGGGAAAGTTGATGTATATATGGAATTGTTAGTATTATTAGATGTTACATTTGCAGTAACATTTTGGACATATAGTGAATGGTTAATAAAAGGCTTCATTAACCTTTTTGGTAATAAAAAGGACTGGATATATGAAGAATACGTAGTTGGTTGTGCACATGCGGAAAAAAAAAAAAAAAAATTATTGAATTTATTTTTGATATTTTTCTAGAAAAAAAAAAAACAGAGATAGGAAAAAAAAAAAATATATTCATTTTTTTTAAATGATTTTAATTTGAGAAGAAAAAGATTGGTAAAATAAAAATCGAGAGTACAATTTAGTACCAATAAAAATAAGATCTTAAACAGATAAAAATATTTACATAAAAGAGTTTAATTTGCATCATATTTATATATTTAATTTGTGAGAGAAAATTTTATACATATGACAACAAAATTTTAACGTAATTAATATTCATATAATTAATTTGATTTTTACTAATTGTTTATGTTTGTTAATTCAACAGAAATATATTTAAATAGCTGAACATAACTCATAACAAAGAAACAAGAAATATACATTTAATTAATAATAAATATTCAATAAGGATTTAAATTTTTAATAAAAATAAAGATTTATTTATTAAAGTAAATAAATTCCTATTGAAATTAAAGAATGCTCAACGAAGTAGATCACATAATTAAGGATCACTAGTTTAAATCATTTAAAAATATATATAAATACATAAAAACCGTAGAAGCAACTCTATATGCTCTTTATTAATTTGTTTGTTCAGTACTTGGTTAATAAAAGGCTTCATTAACCTTTTTGGAAAATAAAAGGACTAGTTAAATGAAGTATACGAAGTTAGTCATGCACACACACGCACAAAAAAAAAATTGATGATTTTTTTTTTTTGTACTTTTTAAAAAAAAAGTACAAAGACTGTCAGGAAAAAAAATTTGATAAAAAAAAAATGTAAAGATAGTCAGGAAAAATTTGATTAAAAAAATGAAATTTTTAAAATATTTGTTACAAATAAATAAATAAAAAAAAAAAAAAAAAAAGAATTTTTTTTTGGGGGGAAAANACATATAGTGAATGGTTAATAAAAGGCTTCATTAACCTTTTTGGTAATAAAAAGGACTGGATATATGAAGAATACGTAGTTGGTTGTGCACATGCGGAAAAAAAAAAAAAAAAATTATTGAATTTATTTTTGATATTTTTCTAGAAAAAAAAAAAACAGAGATAGGAAAAAAAAAAAATATATTCATTTTTTTTAAATGATTTTAATTTGAGAAGAAAAAGATTGGTAAAATAAAAATCGAGAGTACAATTTAGTACCAATAAAAATAAGATCTTAAACAGATAAAAATATTTACATAAAAGAGTTTAATTTGCATCATATTTATATATTTAATTTGTGAGAGAAAATTTTATACATATGACAACAAAATTTTAACGTAATTAATATTCATATAATTAATTTGATTTTTACTAATTGTTTATGTTTGTTAATTCAACAGAAATATATTTAAATAGCTGAACATAACTCATAACAAAGAAACAAGAAATATACATTTAATTAATAATAAATATTCAATAAGGATTTAAATTTTTAATAAAAATAAAGATTTATTTATTAAAGTAAATAAATTCCTATTGAAATTAAAGAATGCTCAACGAAGTAGATCACATAATTAAGGATCACTAGTTTAAATCATTTAAAAATATATATAAATACATAAAAACCGTAGAAGCAACTCTATATGCTCTTTATTAATTTGTTTGTTCAGTACTTGGTTAATAAAAGGCTTCATTAACCTTTTTGGAAAATAAAAGGACTAGTTAAATGAAGTATACGAAGTTAGTCATGCACACACACGCACAAAAAAAAAATTGATGATTTTTTTTTTTTGTACTTTTTAAAAAAAAAGTACAAAGACTGTCAGGAAAAAAAATTTGATAAAAAAAAAATGTAAAGATAGTCAGGAAAAATTTGATTAAAAAAATGAAATTTTTAAAATATTTGTTACAAATAAATAAATAAAAAAAAAAAAAAAAAAAGAATTTTTTTTTGGGGGGAAAAGTGAGGAATTAAATGAAATTTTTGGATGATGAATTTTGTAAAAGAAAATTTTATACATATAACAATAAAATTTTCATGTAATTAAATTTTATATAATTTATTTTGTATTTGTCAATAATTGTTTATGTTTTGTTAATTCAACGACAATATATATTAATTGCTGAATGTAACTCATAACAAATAAGCTAGTAATTTACAATTAATTAATAATTAATGTTCAATAAGGATTTAAATTTTTAATAAAAATAAGGATTTTTATTAAAGTAAATAAATACCTATTGAAATAAAATAATGCTGAACGAAGTAGAGCACACAGTTAAGAGTTACTGGTTCAAAGCATATAAAAATATATATAAATATACAAAAATCGTAGAGGCATCTCTACATGCTCTTTATTAATTGGTTTGTTCAGTACTATAGTAAAGTCCCCGAATACCCAGTTAATAAAACAGTACTCTAGCAAAGTTACCTAACATCCATTTAATAAAACATCTGTTCAATGACCGTGTTAGTATGGAATAAATTAATAGAGAATATATATAAAAAATTATACTTATTTTATTTTTACTAAATTAAAACATTAAGCAAATTATTCAATTTTATTAATTAATATAAAATATTAATTATATCATTCAAATATTTTTGTTGTTAATTTACACAATATCTCATGTATGTCACATTTTGCCTTACACTTTTAATCTCTCATGAAAAAAATATTCTACATTATCGTTCCCAAAAGAAAAATTTTATTGCTTGAGATATATTTTTTTTTAATAAAATAACAATGAGAAAAATCATTACCAAAAAAAAAAAAATATTAATTTTTTTTTTAGTCAGAATTATAATAAAAAAACAAATTTAACAAAACATATCTACATTTTTTTTAGTGTATTTGTCATTAAAGCGATCATCTTTTTTTCTTTTTTTTGTACATATTTTGTATATTTATTTTTTTTTATCTTGCTCATTTTATTCGTATTTTAACATGAAAAAATGCAAATGTTTTTACTTATTTTATTTATTCAAATATCATTTAAGTTATATTGATAATGCTATTTTTACACTATTAGGAGATACTAATTATTATATGAAATATATTAAAAAATTTTATTCGTGTATTTCTAAATTAGTTTCATTACTAATTATTCTCAGATTTTTTAATAAATAAAAAGAAAATGGTTTAAATAATTTATTATATCTTTGATCCAAAAAACCGAATACTGTTTTACTGAAGTCTCTTATAATGCTTTGGGGTCGCATTAACTGAAATAGATAATGATAATGGTTGCACAAAATTTATTTATTATACTTTAAAAAAATTAAATGATGCTAAATGGAAATGGAGAATAATAGAAATAGAACTATTCTTAATAATTATATCTTGTAAAACATTTGATTATTATATTAAAGGATCTAAAGTATTTATAAAAGCAAATTGTAATGGTATAATAAAAGTTGATTCTGCTAGTACTAGGAAATTGTAAAGATGGAAATTAGACTATCCGAATTTTGCTCAGTATTTGAACACATTAGAGGAGTTTAAAATAATTTAGATTATTGGATTTCTAGGTCAATAGATGATTAAAATGTTATTCTTAATCACATGTTATATGATGATATAACGTTAAAAGAATATGAAAACTTTCATGTATTCCTTCTTGACAGAAAATAGATGTTGTTAGTGAGGATATAAAAATAATATTCCTAGAAATTTTGTGGAGAGAAATAACCTTCCTATTCATTATAAGAAAGTATGATTATATATATGATTTATTAATTGTCCCTTCAATGACTTTACTAATGTATTGGAAATACTAATTAATAAAGAGAATACAATGTTTCTCTTACAGATTACATTTAATATAGAGATATATCTGAGTACAAATGTTTATTTATTTTAAACAAAGTTTGAATTTAATTTATATACAATATCTTAAAATATACTATACAATAATTTAATAAAAAATGTAAAAATAAATCCTTTTGTTTTCTTTTTAAAACATTGAAATTCAATTTAATTTACTTTTAACATACAACCACTAAAATATTTTTGATAAAAAATTTATGATATATAGCAATAAATATTGAAAAAATTAAAAACAAGGTATCATAATCTTATTTACATTTGTGGGTATAATGGTAGTTTTAATTAAAACAATAATAAAAATGTAATTTACATAAATTTGTATTTATTTTAATTATGATTCAATTTCTTACATAACAAATTATTATTGGAGGAATTAAATTTTAGAAATTATGAAATGCATTTTAAATTATAAATTCACAGATAGGTGTGAAATGTCCTATTCAGGGAAATAATTTGAAATATATGACAATAAAAATCTGAAAAAAAAAAAAGAATTTAAATAAATATAAAAATTATCTTAATTTTTATAATTTAAGTAATAATAATATATAAAACTCAATAAAAATAAACAATACACTGAAGTAATAATTTTTATTACTTAATGATATATAATTAAAGCAAAAATGTGTGTACATATTTTGCTAAAAGTTTCTACATAAATATATTAAAAAGCAACAGAAACAATTATGAAAAAAAATATTTTTAAATATGGTGAATTTTAAGTTATAATAACAATAATTTTAACAAATATAAAAACTATTATAGATAGTATTTCTTATGAAATATGTTTAAAAAAAAAATTTATAATATATTTATTAAATTATATATATTACATATATAATAATTTTAACTTAAATTATATATATATATATCTAGTAATTGAATTATCTAAAAATAATTCAAAATATTGTGTAAAATATTTTTATAATGTTTTTTATAAATAATAAAGGTAAAAAAAAAAAAAAAAAAAAAAAAAAAAACTGTAATGTTCACGTATAAATATGCTATTTATTGTATATATTAATGTTTTTAGTTTAACTTAAATTATTTATTTTATGTTATTTTTCTACGGTTTTAAAAATTTAAATTTATTCATATTATGTGCACAATTTAACTACAGTTAAAAACAATTCAGATTAAATATAATGACAAAATATTTATATTATAAAAGTTAGAAATAAAATACAATAAAATTGAAGTGCATTTAAAAAAAATTTTTTTTTATGATTTTTTTTTTAAAATCATATATATAAATCATAAAAATTTGGTGAAACAATTATGGTATTTATTTAAAGAAATATATATATTTTTTTTTTTTTCTTAAAAAATATATAGCATAAATAAATTTTTTTTTAATGAATTAATATTATAATTTGTAAAAATAGCATGTTTAGAAATTTTCTAATTTATTTAAAATATTCACATAAAAATAAAGTACAATATTTTATTACTTTTAAATTAAAAATATACATTTTTATGTTATTAAGGTCTAGAAGTAAATTAAAGGATTTAAAATATTAATTTTTGTCTAAATTTGAGTTTTTCTGAGTTTTACTTTTTTTTTTTTTTCATTATAAATTGTAAATATTATAATATATTGTATTAATATGTATCATTTTTATATACATTTTGGGTAAACCTATTATTAAAAACTTATATTTTCTAATACAACAATCAAATTGAACACTATTTTTTTTTTTTGTTTTAAAATATATATACATGAAAATAAAAGATTTGTGATTTAAAGTAAAAGTGAAACATATATGTATATTAAAAGTAGAATTAATATTTAGATAAATTAAAATAATGTGAAAATATTTATATTAGTTAAACATTTTAAATAAATTTACATAGTTTCTTATGTTATGAAAATTCAATATTTTATTATTTTTAATAATTTTATCTTCAAAAGTCACAATGTTAATTTTTCTAAAAAATAAAAAAATATTAGAATACTGAAATAAAATATTTAAAATACAATAAATTTTATATATTTACATTAAATGAAGTTTCTTTTATTAAAATTTTATTTATTTTATGAAATATATATAAACGAATAAAATTAGGAAATACTAAAAAATATAAAAATATTTAGATACAACACTATTCTTTATAATGTTATATCTAAATTAAGAAAAAAAATATCTTAATGAAAATAAGAAAATAAAATATAATTGAGATATTAAAATATGTTTTAACTTTTTTTACCTTTTTTTTTTTTTTTTTTTTTTTTATAAAAAAATAAAGTACTTAGAGATAAAGAAAATGAAATTAGAAGTATAATAAAAAAAACAAAAAATACTATATTAATTTTAAAATGATAAGAAATNAACTTACCAAGAGACGTAGTATGGAAGGATGGTTTCTCATTTCATTATAGAACAGGAAGATTATATATATCAAAAAAATATAGAAATCATTAAAAAAAAAAAAAAAAAAAAAAAAAAATAAGAATTTAAGAAAGTGCTAATTTTTTTTTTTTTTTTTATTTTTATAGAATATAAAAAAATAACTATTCTTATTAAATTAAATATATAATTTAAGAAATGTTGTTTTTTTTTTTTTTTTTTTTTAAATTTGTAAAATAAAATAGAAATATTTTTATGAATTATGTAAATCATTTGTTTCTATATGTGAATAAATATTTTTTATATTTAATTAATTTTAGGAATAAATATTTAAAGTTTTTAAAAATTTAATAGTGATAATTATAATCCATATTTTAAATTATAATTAAACTTATATAATCATTCATACTGGTTTATTTATGTATTCTCATTGTGTCCATAAAACATATTTTAAAAAATTTTTATTATTGTAATAATGATAAAGAAATAGTAATTAAAATTTTGAGTATTTTATTTTTTTTACTTTTTATTTTAACTTTTTTTTTTTTTTTTTTTTTTTTTTTTTTTTTTAAAGTGTAGAATATTTATTACTTGTTATATATACTTCCATGAAGTTACTATATGTTATTCCAAAAATGTTAATAATATATTTTATTAACCAAATAATGAACAAACAAATCAATATTAAGTAGACTATCCTCTACAAATTTTAATAGTTTTGAAAGCATTTTTTTATCAATAATATGTAATATTTATATAATTAAATTAAATAACATGAAATATATAGCTTATATTTGATGACCTATCTTCTTAATAAATTATAAGGCTTAATATATTATTTATTCCTATTACATCAGTTAATTTAAAAAACATTAAAATAAGTTAATTAAATATAACTTATTTAAACATCTAAGCATTTAACATAGATCATTGATTGTATGTGAAATAATTTTATTACTACAGTAACTTTCTATAAAAGTTATTTAAAAATCCTTTTAATAAATTCTAATTTTTTATTCAAAATATAATAAATTCATTCTAAAAATTTTTTCTATGAACAAAAATATATAACTATTATTTTTTTTTTTAACTGCTTATGTGAAATATTTTTTCAAATGTCAAACATTTATATCTATCTTTTTATTTTATTTATACTTTACTAATATTTAAAAAATTTTAATGATATTCTTTATTAACCTAAGAAAATGCAAATATTGAGACATTGATTTGTTAATTATTTGTTCAAAAACATTTGTATAATATTGGTCAATAAAAGATATAATTAAAATTTTACGAAATGAGAGATATTAAATTGTATGGAAAATAACATATTTGTTGTTTAAGAGTTCCATTTAATTAAGTAAATAACAAAAAAAAGAAAAATGAAAATTTTTGTTCTTTATATTGTATATAAAATTTTGCTAATTATGATGATTTTATTTTAATTTAATGAGAAAAAATTATTTTTTTTTAAGTTGTTAGAAATTTTTATTCATTTAGAAATTAAATTTAATTAAAAAAACTAATTTTTGGAAACATCAAAAGTTTAATTAAAGTTTAAAAGAAAACAAAAATGATTTAATTTTTATTAACACTTAAATTTAGTGTATTTTTATAAAGTTTCTAATTACTTTGAATTTATTTATTTTAAAATATTATTTTGAATATAATTAATAGCTTTAACGATAATTTAAGCTTTAATAGAAATAAAAATAACTTTATATTAATTATATAAACGCCTATAAAACAATAAATATTCTTTTATGTAAATTATATGTATAAAATTTACTTTATTATAATAGAAATATATATTTACAACAGGTAAAACTAGTAGAGACTAAGATATATATTCTTAGTTCGTTCATTCTATATATCAGTATATTAATATTAGTGTAATATGATGTATAATGTATATATGATTTATTAATCTATTCAATTATTTCGACATATCATCGAATGAACATAATAATAAAGAGCATATATTGTGGTTCTTACTAGTTTTAACTGTTATAAAAATATGTTTCTATTATAATAAATTAAACTTTAGACATATAGTTTAAATAATATAATATTTACTGTTTTAGAGGCATTTAATTAATTAATACAAGGTTATCTTTATTAAAAGCTTAAATTATCATTAAATCTATTAATTATATTCAAAATAATAATTTAAAATAAATTAAATTAAAGTTATTAACAACTTCTAATAAATATATTAAATTTAAATATTAATAAACCCTAAATACGTTTTGTTTTCTTTTAAGTTTTCAACTTTATTATTGATGGTTTCTAAAATTGACTCTATTATAAAATTTAACCCATATACAATAAAACGTATTATTTAACAATCTAAATAAAAAAAAAAAATTGAAGAAAATATAAAAGAAAAAAAAATTATAAAATGTCAAGAAAATTTTTTTTTTCATTTATCTATTTCTTTAAATATCAATTATAACGAATAACTTATTTCCTCATAATTTACTATTAAATCATAAAAGGTTAATATCATTTATTAACCAGATAGGTATTTTAAACTATATATATTTTATAATATTTTACATGCACACAAAACTCATTTTTGCATTTTTATTCATCGTATTATAAATTCAAAAACCTCAATAATATTCTTTATTAGTCAAATGTCAAAGATTAAGGTTTAATCATATGTAACTTGGTTTTAACCTCTTTATCACAATCACTTCAACATAAATTACATTATAAATAAATAAATTTTATATTGTCATTCAATTTTTTTTTTTGTACTTTTTATATCTCTCTTGCCGATTTTTTTTAGGAAGCATTATTTTATTTGAACAATATTTATTATGTTTTCGTTTTTTTTTTTATTTTATACTAATATTTAACTTATAAATTTCTTATATAATTATAAAAATGAATTAAATATTTTTTCAATATTATCATTATTATGTAAATTCAAACTTAATTTAGGTATATTTCAATTATAATAATAAAAAAATATATATATACGAATTCTTTTATTTTATTCTTTTATTTTTTATTTTTTATTTATATATTGTTATTTGCTTATAAAAAGACTATTTGCATGTGAAATTTTATTTTTTTTCTATTTATTTTACCTAAACATTAGCTGTTATAACAAATTAATATATTATTGTTAATTATCTATTGACATTGAAACTATTATAAATTTTATTATATTATATATACTTTTAACATAATATTATATAATTGTAATTTTAATTAAACTGCAAGCACTAATACTATGCCATTTTTATTTATATTTCTTAGATAATTAAGAAAACATTTCGTTATATATATTTAAAATTATTTTTTATTTTTTTAAAAAGAATAAATTATTACTGGAAAAATCTTTGAATAAATATTGCAATTATTTTATTTTAAAATTACGATAAAAAAAAGCTTTAAAATTTTTTGTTTATGTTCTGTAGAAAAAAAATCCTAACAATAATATGTATTAAAAATATATATCCCATAAATGTTAGATTTTATAGTAACATATCTTTAAAAAAAACATATACATAAACTTTAATATTTAAATAAGAGGTTAGAAGAGTTTTGAATTTTTGTAAATATTATATATTGTACTAGAAACTATATTTTTCATAAGAAGTAAAATAAAATTTATAAGAAAATGAAATATTAAAAAAAAAAAAATGATTCTATAAAAGCTATTAAGGAAAAATTCACAAAAATCTTAGTAAAAAGTAATAAAAATATATATGCCTTATTTTAATTTAAAAAATGGCATTTTTAAATAATGACGGATGTGAAGATTCTGAAGGAGATTTCACCAAATGTTTTATGACTATATGTGAAATACAGCAAAAAAAATTTGAAGCATCATATTGTAGAATTGAGTCACCAGTAGTTGATATAAAGAAGACTTTAAATAATAATTTAAATGATCTTTCAAAAAATTTATTTACTTACGAATTTACTCCAGCAAATTTTCATTCTAGGATAATTATTCTTTCAAATAATGATAAAGATGGTATTTTGCTTCTGTATGAATATAATCCAAATCATAATAAATATCCAGATAAAACATATTTATGCCGCCTTAGAAATATAAATCAAAAGTTAACATTATGCGAATCCATTAATATAGAATATTTTGGAAGAAGTCTTACGTTTAAATCTTATGACATTTTTAATGAAGAAAATAAAAAAAATAATATGATTAGTATAGAAAACCCCAATCATAAAATTATTAAATCAAAATATGATGAGTTCATATTTAAAGAACATTACTGCCATCCTATGAAAACAAAATACATTTCATATTGTAATAAAAGGTATACCATATGTAAAAAAATGAATAATGATCAATTACATTGTTCCGATGCAAATTATAGTGGAAATTTAATTATTTTAGATAATATTAATTTTCCTGTTTTAAAAAGAGATTATGTGTATCTTCCCAGTGGTTGCTTAAAAGAAAATTTAAATCCTGTATGCACTCCATATATATGCACAAGCCGTGGTTTTGATAAATATTTTGAATGTAAATATGAAGAAATAAGTGTTATAACAAACATAAGGCCAATAAATAACATAATGCCAAAAAAAAATATAATGCCAATAAAAGACATGAGGTCAATAAATGAAATATTACCATGTAATAACCTAATACCATGTAAACACATAATGCCACATAAACACATGTTGCCACCAAATAACTTAATGCTAATGAAAGACATAAGGTCAACAAAAAACATAGGGTCAAATTCAAAAAATCCACTCGCCATATCATTAAATCATGAGGATATTTATCATGAAAATCGTTTGAGTAATGCTGAACTCTTTGCAATGTCTTTTATGTCTTTTCTAGTTCTATTCACTTTTTTTTTTTGCCTTATATATAGGATTTTTAGAAAAAAGAGAAGTAAGTTATTTATAAAACATTTTCGTATATTAATGCTTATATTATAATTATATACATTATATTTTTCAATTTTTTAATATATAAAAAATGAAAAGGTAAATATATATGAGTGTATATTAAATTAACAAAATTTTATATTTTTTTTTTTTTTTGTAGAAAAAATAAATTAATGATAAAAAAGGAAAATCATTACTTTTACTAAAAATATCAAGTATTCTTACAAAAGAAATACAAAATTAATAATAAGGAATTTATATTTTATATTTCATATATTTATTAGAATCCATAGGAAAAATTTTTATTATAATAAATAAATTATAAATATTCAAAAAATTTCATATCTAGGTATGCATATATGATATACAAAATTGAACTGAAAATTTTTTTATGGTTAAATTTCTCAATTGCTATATGCTTACTTGTTATATAAATGGGTTTAAATTGCCTATGTGTTGATTTATTAATTTTATGTTAAAATATTTTGTTAAAGTAATGAACATATGAATTAATAAAGAAGAATTAAAATAATTTTTATTTTTATCTCTTGAGAAAAATATCTTGTCATAAATAAGTGAACATTACATGATTGAGTATTAAAAGAAATTATTAATCTTTTTGACAATAGAATGTAATAGTTGTATGAAAAATTAATAGTTAGCTATGTAAACACTAGATAAAAAAGAAAAAAAATTAACAATTTTTTTTCTTTTTCTTTTTAAAAATTAAAAATACACAAAAAAGTTTATTTTTTTCTTAAGAGATTAAATAGTTGAAAAATTAAAAGGAAGATTGTTGACTAAAAAATTTTTTCATAATATATTTTATTTAAATTTATATAAGAAAATTTTATATAAACGATGATAAATTTTTGTATTTTGTATTATTAATATAATTTATTTTTTATTTTGTTAATTTAGTAGATATATATATTTGAATTGCTAAATATTACTTATAACATTATAATGCTAATATAATTAAAATTGATAATTAAAGAGGATTTAAATTTTTAATAGAAATATAGTATTTTTATCAAAATAAATAAATGTCTCTTAAAAACAATAAACATTCAATAAAGTAAAGTAAATATATACATTTTACTGGTATATAGCATTAAAGTTATACTTAGATTCATTGAATTAGTAGAGATAACTCTACGTACTTTTTATTAATATGTTTATTCAATACTTTAGAAAAATCATTGCATATGCAATTAATAAATCAATAAATGCAATATACAATATTAAATCTATAGTTTATTTTATATGATATTCTTAACACTTTAAACAAAAATATATCAACTTAATGTTTTTATTACTGTTTAATGGGTAATAAAAACTACACTAACTTATTTTTATATTACATATGCACTTAAAAACGCTGGACTTCCTGATATAGAAAAAAATCGTAAGATAAAATTATCAACATGAATTACAACAATAAATTCAAAACACTTCAGAAATTTTATTAACAATAATTATATTAACTAGTTTTTGCAGTAATGTAGTGTTTAATAAAAGATATTATTAACCTCTTATAGAATATTAAAACATTACATGGAAAATAAGTTATATATCCCAGAAAATTTCTAACAAAAAAAAAAAAAAAAAGAATCTTATTTTTATCGTTAAATGTTTTTATTAGTTGTTTGTTACTTGATTTTAATTAAAAAAAAGAAAAAAAATTGTTTTTTTGAGTTATTGATGGGATTTTTATTTATTTAGATATTAAATTTTGTCAATTGAATTGATCATAGAATAATTAAAAATTAAAATCACATTTTAAAGAAATATAAAAAATATATTATTTTTATTAATATTTAATATTCATTTACTTTTAATAACTTTAATTAAAATTATGATGTCTCTTTAAAAAAATTTCTTTTACAAGTGATCGACAATTTTAAAGATGATTAAAGTTTTTAATCAAAATATGGATAAATTTTCAATAAAGTAAGAAAATACTTCTGAAACAATAAACGTTTATCTATTTTTTAATAAAAAATATTAATAAGTTTATTTGAAACAATAGAATCTTATAGAGAAAATAGAATGGCATGAACATTCATTAAATAAAAAAAAAATAAGGCTATTGATTATTTTTATTTTATATATTTTACTCTATGGCTATAAATGTTCTGTTGAATTTTATCAGTTGATCTAATTTTTAAGCTAACAAAAAATAAATTAAAACTTTAAAAAGAAAAAGAAGAAGAAAAAGGCTTTTTTTTATTATTGTTATTTAATTTTTATATATTTTTAAAAAACAGTAACTTTAATTTTAATTTTGTTAATTTATTTTAAAAGAATATTTTACACACAATAAATAATTTTAAAGAAGATTTAGATTTTTAGTAAGAATAAGGGCAATTTTTATTAAATTAATAAATTCCTCAAAAAATCATAAATGCTCATTTATCAATTTATTAATTGCAGTTCAATGATTTGAAAGAGTATTGAACAAAAGGATTAATAAAAATTATGTATAGTTTCNAGGGAAAAAATAAAATAAAATACAAGAAATCAAATATTTTGAAATTTCTTTTTAAGAGGTTTGATAAACATTAAGAAAATAAAAATTAATGTTTTAACAGAGAATATAGGATTATTCATGCGCAAGTCTAGTAAAAAAAAAGAAAAATTAATATTTTGTCTAAATTTTTTTTATAGAAATATATTTTACCTTTTAAAAAAAAAAAAAATTAAAAGAGAAAAATTTTTTAAAAAAAAAAATTTCATGAGAATATTTTTTAATTTTTAAGAATAAAATTTTCGTTGTGTGATATTAATTTAATTAAATTTTTCTTTTTATTATTTATGTATTTTTATTATTTTTAAAAGCAGTGAACTTAAATTATTGAAAATTACTTATAAAAAGCAATAACTATTTTGTACTTAAAAATTAATAATTAATGAAAATATATGTTTTTAATAAAAATACATAATTTTTATCAATTAATTTTAATTCTGCAAACTAGTAAAATTTATATATGTAACCTACTTCAATGAATATTTATTTTTAAGAAATATTTATTTACTTTAACCAAAATCCTATACTTTTACTAATAATTAAAATTATCATTAATTATCGATATTTAATTTAACATGCCTTATTTATGATGTTATGTACGATGTTTAGAAATTCATATCTTTCTTTTAATATAAATGAGTAATTATTAGAACACAAAATTAACTTACATAAATAAAAAAAACATGAAAAATTAATTAGTGTTAATATAACATTTTCTTTTTCAAATAATAATCAGAATTAATTCTCAAAAATTATATGCATCACAAAAATTAAATTTTAATAACCTAAAATTATTCATCAATTCTCAAAACTAATTATTTCTCCTTCAAAAAAAAAAAATTTATAAAAAAAAGTTAACTAATTTTTTTTTTTTTATCCAATGCTTGTATGGTTAATTATTATTCTAAAAAAGGTTAATAAAGTCCATTATTAACCAATTATATAATCAATATGTATAAAACTTAATTATAGAATATATATTTTCTTAAACCAGCTAAAATTAATAAAATCCATTATAAATATTTTTTATTATATTGTATGTTTAATACTTGATTTATGGTTTTTATATTTCTTATTGAATGACTTTGTGAATAATTGGTTGACTGTTCGATAACTTTGTTAGAGTACTAAACAAATAAATTAGTAAATTACACATAGAGTTGCTTCAACGGATTTAATGAATTTAAGTATAATTTTAATGTTGTAAACCAGTAAAGCGTGTTATATATGGTCTACTTCATTGAGCATTTATTAGGTTTTAAGAGGTACTTATTAATTTAAAAAAAATTGCATTATTCTTATTAAAGACATAAATTCTCATTAATTATTTATTTGTACTTACGTATATTTTTAATTATAATGTTACAAATAATGTTTAACACTTAATTACATTGTATTAAAATTAACAAACGTACACAATTAATAAAATACAAATTAAAATTACATAAATAGTAAACACATGAAAATTTTATTATACTTCTTTTTTTAAAATATCTCTTTAAAATTCATAATATAAATTCCATACAAAAGTAACTCTTGTCAAAAAGAAAAAAAATACTTATATATTTTTTTTTTGTTTTTTTTTTTTTTTTTTCTTTTCAACCTATTTTTTTTTTTTTTATCTAACGCTTGTATGGTTATTTATTTTCCATATAACTATCACGTTTTATCCTCAAAAAGGTTCATAATCCTTTTTATTAATCATTCTGCTATAATATTGAACAGATTAATAAAGTGCATGTTGGTTAATAAAAGGCTTTACTAACCTTTTTGGAAGATAAAAGGACTAATTAAATGAAGAATACGAAGTTGGTCATGCACACACAAAAAAAAAAAAAATCATGATCAATTTTTTTTTGTTTGTATTTTTTTTAAAAAAAAGTACAAAGACCGCCAGGAAAAAATTTTGATAAAAAAAAATCAATAGGAAAAAGATTTGTTACCATTAAATAAAAAAAAAAATTTTTTTTTCGGGAATGAAATATGATTTTGATGAATTTTATAAAAGAAAATTTTATACGTATAACAATAAAATTTTCATGTAATTAATATTTATACAAATTTTTTGTATTGCCATTAATTGTTTATGTTTGTTAACTCAACAGTAATATGTATTAATTGCTGAATGTAACGCATAACAAAGAAACAAGTAATTTACATTTAATTAATAATCAATATTCAATAATGATTTAAATTTTTAATAAAAATAAGGATTTTTATTAAAGTAAATAAATTCCTATTGAAATCAAAGAATGATGAATGAAGTATATCACACAATTAAGGATCACTCTTTCAAAGCATTTAAAAATATATATAAGTACGTCAAAATCGTGGAACCAACTCTACATGCTCTTTATTAATTTGTTTATTCAGTACTCTAGCAAAGTCACCGAACACTGAGTTAATGAAACAGGGAGTGTGAAAAAGATTACATTGACATATAGAATAATAATTATGAGGCTTTAAAGGGACACATTATTTTCTTATGTTTGAAATGGATTGTATATGTTCTGATTATTCAAAATTTCCCCTGTAAATTATGTCATAAATGAGAATAGTTTATTTAAATGAGGGATAGAAAAGAACATGCAAAGATTTAAATACATTAAAAGAAAAATAATTGATAAATATCGAAAATGTTAATGCACGTATTATTATTTTAAATGAAATGTCAATGTATTAACAAAATCAATTAAAGGATAATGATTCTAATAATCAATTCAAGCCTTGTTTGTTCTTTCTATAATAGGTAACTAAAATTAAAATTAAAAAACTAAAAGTAGTATCTATATATATGGTGAATAAAAGTCTTCATTTACATTTTTGAGAATGCATATAATGATAATTGCATATTTTAAGGATTTTTCTACTCATGCAATACAATTAACACACATGTATATATATATATTTACGATAACATGTACAAAAAATTTCATTAGGGACAGAAAAATGATAGAGTAACTTAGAAAAATTATATCTTATGAAATGTAGTATAGGTATATTTATAAAATATGCGTGATGTAAGTGACAAGTTTACATTAAAAAAAATTAAATTTTCTTTTTTTTTTTTTCCTTTTTTTATATTTAGAAAATAGTAAAATAAATTTTATTTAGTTTTATAAGAACTATTAGTCAAATTGATGAAAATTATGAGATATAATATAAATATGTTCAATTTATTATTAACATGTAGTTATATATAAGTTATAAAATTTCTTACAGAAATTAATTTTATCATAAATAACATAAGATATCTCTACATGTTATTTGTTAATTTGACTATTAGTCTATAAGTAGTTTTATAGATATATTTTAAATGTTACTTAAGTGAATAAGATAAATAAAATTATTTTTTCTTATACATGCTAAAATGTAAAAAAAATTCTCTAATTTAAACGCATACCCCAAAAGTACTCCAAAAAAAAAAATACAAGTATATTTTGTTATATTTTTTTTTTAGGTGTATATGAACATACAATTATAAAAAAAAAATATTTTATAAAATTTTATGATATTTTTATTTTTTTTTTTATAGAACAAATCATAGTAACTTATTTTCTTTTTTAGATAACAAATCATAGTGACTTATTTTTTTTTTTGACAAATATTAAAAATGAAGTGTTAAAAATTATATTCATAGAGTATTGAGTAAATAAATTTAAATTGTAATTAACTAATGTAATTAATATTTTATTATGATTATAGTAAATAATTTGCTTATTGTTTTATTTTAATTTAAATAAAATTAGTATAGTTTTCTCCACATACTCTTTATTAATTTGTTTGTTCAACGATAGCATAATCAATGAACATACAATTAATAAATCTATCCGAAGTACTATAAATTTCATTGAATTGTCATTTAATAAACCAATGCTATAGAGGTAAATCAATTCAAATTTAACTTAATAAAATGAAATTATTACATATTAAGGCTAAAGAGATATATGAGACTCAAATGAAAAGTTCAGTATATATCACTGATTTGTTAGTTCCACATTTAGTGACCTTGCTAGTATTTAACAAATGAATTAATGAAGAAAATGTAGAAAGAACTCTATTTGTTTTATGCTTATTAAATTAAAATATTATGAAAATTGTTTAATTTTGTTAATTCCAAATATTAATTACATTAGTAAATCACTATTTTTGTTAATTTGTATAGTATTTCATGTATATCACATTTAAAATTATATTTTTAATCTTTCATAAAAAATTTCCTATTCATTGTCCTCAAAAAAAAAATATATATATTTTTTATATAGTTGTAAATACACTAAAATAAAAATATGATGAAATGTATCTACATTTTTTAGTGTATGTACTTTTAGATCAATTATATTTTTTTAATGTCTTACTTTTGGTGCAAATATTTTTTTTTAGTGCATGTACCTTTTGTGTACTTTTTTTATTAGGGTACGTGTTTAAACATATATAATTTCTCTGTATATTAGTATATATAAAATAAAATCTTTTTACGAATTTCATTTATTTAAATATTATATAAAACAATTAGATAATATTATTTATAGATCAATAACTAGATGGAATAAAAAGAAATCATAACTTATGCAATGGTTGGAACTCAGAAATTGTTTGGATATTTATAAAAGAAGAATTATAAAGCTATATGATTTGAAAGATAATAGAAATAGACGAATAGATAAATATATATGAAAATGTCTTAAGGTCGTAGAAAAGGGCAATGAATATAAAATAAAATAATATTATTATTTTTCCAAAGGTCATCTATTATATTCCATAAATGTTATTATTAGTCTATTTTAGATAATATACAAATGAATGAAATAAATATATTACTATATGTGCATACTGTATATGCGGAAAAAATGTGCACATTTAAATCCTCTCAATAAAATTAATTGCTTAAAAAAAAATTTTTTTTTTTTACATATATATAATTTTTTCTTGAGGAAATTTAAAAAAAAAAAATTACAAATTTTTTGAATGTATCTCGTGTGATATTTTAGTTAAAAAGTTAAAAACGTAACATTTAATATAATATTTTATAAACTATTGAACAAATTATCTTAAATATTAAATAGAATAATAAATTTAAATTTAACATTAACTATATTAAATAAATTGAGAAATATTTTATTTTATATTCAATAAAATAGAGTTTTTTCCATGTTCCTGTTATTAACTAATTTGTTCAATATTGCAAATTCTCTTAACATAAAATTAATAAAAAAAATAATGATAAAAAATTTTTATTAAAAGAGAAAAAAAAATTGTTGAAACTAAAGGAAAAATAAGAATGAATATAAATGATCGTATAAATATTGTAAAATAAACATAAAAACAAAGTTAAAAAAAAGAAAATTAAACAAAAACCTAATAAAATTAAGTCTAGAGAATTTACAAACATATCATTTTAAAATTATTTATGACAGAGTAACAAGATATACATAAAAATGGAATATCCTAATTTTATTTTTTTTTTTATTTTTACTTATTTTGTTAAAGAATATCTAATTAATAATAAAAAATAGAGATACGTCTTTAAAAATATAAGAATATATTACATGTTTAACAAATTTAAATATTTTATGTTTTTAAAACTATAAGTATATGAATATATTTTAAATATATAAAAATTAACCTTTTTTTTTTTTTTTATATTAAAATGATATTAAATATTGTTTATAAATTTAATTCACATGTATAAAATATAAAAAAAAAAATGAATTGCTATTTTTTTTGAAACTTGTTTTACTATACATTTTAATAAAAATCACAGTTAGAATGAGAAAAAAGGAATCATAATTTTTTTATTTTTTATTTTTGAGGTTAATTATGCGCGTACTTTTTCTAAGTTCATATCATATATGTTATAATTTACATTATTATTTTTTCAGAAAAATATATGAACTTTCATTATTTTATACTTTCATAAATTAATAGACCAGTTTTTATTTTTTTTAAAAATTATTTTTTTAATTGATTTTACGTTATTTTTTAAAATTTATCTATGTATATATTAAATAAATATTTAAAAAAGTGTAAATTTGAATTTAAGAACTTAAATGTTCTAAATAGCTAATAAAATATATAACTTACCTCTTTTAAATTTTATTAAGGTAAAAGTATACTACGTACGGAAGTTGCCATTGCATGCAAAACATTAAAAAGGTGCATATATAATATGATTATAAAGGTACATGCACAAAAATATTCATAATCAAATAGTTATAATAGAGTGTAGGTATATTTATTTACGTTTAAAAAAAAAATTATTTTTTTTAGAGTAAAACCATAAGAAAAAAAAATAACTTCAATTTTAATGTAACATTAATGTATTAATAATTTAAGTTTTAAAAATAGCAGATAATATTTTTATATGAGCAATAAAAATTGTGATTAAAAGATAAAATTTTTTTATTATATTTTATAAAGTATAATTATATAAAAGGTTTATGATTATCTATAAATTATTTTTCAGTAAATAAAAAAAAAGGAATTTTTTATTTAAGCTTTTTATTATTTTTACTGCTTAGAGCACTATAAAATAAGTCAAATTACAAATTGATGAATCACAATCTAAAAAAAAGTGTAAAAGTTATAATAAAAAATAGAGATAAAAGAGAGAAAAGAAATGAAAAAACTAGAGTAAAGTAGTTTTTGAAATAATTGAATTAAAACTAAATAATAACTCATATAAATAATCCTTAAATAATTAAAAAAAATTCATCCATAATTACACTAGTTTTCTTATATATATTTTTAGCTTAAAACAATTAAGTTTAAAATTTTTTATTCCTTATATATTTTATGATTATTAAACTAAAAATAATTTAAATTTTCCTAAATAATTTATTAGAAAAATAAAATTTTTTTTAGTAATAAATAATGACACTTATTTAGAATTTATTAAAAAAAAAAAAATTGAAATATTAATTGTTCTACACTATAAATTAAAAATATTTTATTAAATAATGTAAAATAATAAAAAAATATGTTACATTTATAAATGGAAAACTTTTATGATATTTTTTTTCTCTCTTAATTTTTTAATTTTAATTATATCACTTTGTAATTTTAACTATCATTCCATTTTTTTACTTAATTATATATATTAGTTTTATCTGAAAATAACTACATCATTATAAAATACGTTAGGTGAAAATTAAAAACTTGTTTTCATTAAAAAATACTTATTTTTATTTTGGACATATAGAAACATCACAACCTATTAATATATTAAATAATATAATGATATCTTATTAAAAAGGAAAATTAAATTAAAAATTTAACTAATTTAATTAATAAGCAATAATATGTGGAATTCAATGTTATAGTGTAAATAAAGAATTGTTCATTTTTTATTAATATGACCTTTATATTGTCTTAATTTTAATATATATGTAATCCTAATATGAAATATTCATTTAATGACAATATAAATATATATGTTATAGTTTTTTAAAATTATTTATTAAAAAAAATAATAGAACATGCCAAGATAATTACAATTAAATATATAATGGATACAGAAAAAGAACCAATTAGAAGAAAACGTAGAGACCTAACATCTCGTGCATTACCAAAGTATCATCTTAGAAATTGGAGGCAAACATTCTATAGAACTGTTGACTCAAAAATTCTCAAAATTAAAGATGAAAAGTCTCCGAAAATGAAAAAGAGACTCTGTAGATATTTTAATTATTGGATGGACGATAGGAGGGATGCATTCATGAATTTTAGAAATCAATACCGTTTATTGGGAAGTATTAATAATCTTTGGGCAGAAAATCAGGAATGTGTAGTTAATAAATTAAAATCATCAATCAGTGATTCATGTAAAAGAAAAGAGAATAAAGATAAGAAAGTTATAAGAGATAAAAAAAAAGTTATCGAAGATTTTTGTGAGGATAAAGAGGAACATTTACAAGAATTAAATGAAAATATAACAGAAGAGAAATGTACAAATTACAATAATTGGTTAGATGAGAAAAAAAAATTTTTTGTAAATAAAAATTGGATTAATGAACAAGAAATGACATTTGATGAAAATTTAGAAATTTCTGAAAATTGTACACTTAATGATATGAATACATTTGTCACTAGTTTAGACTGTATTAGAATTAATAAGAAAGAAAACGATTCTTGTGATTCTAAAATATCAGAAAACTGTAATCAATCCCAACTTTTAACTCCTGATAGTTCATTTGCTAATGCATCTGATCATTCTTCAAGCGAAACTATTACAATAAAACCAAATGCTACTACTAATTTATCTACCACTACAATAAACTCCACAACTAAAATTATAACTCAAAATACAGCAAATCCTTCAAATGAATCTACTACTCCAACACCAGGATCTACACAAAAGTTAACATCAACTATTGCGTCTATACATTCAGATCCAAATTCACCTATACCTTTACCTCTAAAAGCAAGTGTATCTGAAATCCCACAAACAGATGTGTCTCCTACTACTCCAACAACAAGTTCTACACCAAAGGTAGCATCAACTAATATGTCTACACATTCAGATGAAGATTCACCTATAGCTTTACCTGTAAAGGCAATGAATCCTACAGAAAAACCAGTTACAAATGATATTATTTTAACATCTGGAAATAATGTCGAATTGCCAACTGTTAGCGATTCAAGTGAATCTTCAATCTCTCATACATTTAGATCTACAAATGCAGATATATCTGGAAATTCACAAATAGAATTGTCTCCAACTACTCCAACATCTGCACTTAACATCACTTTACCATCCAATGCTATTCCGATAAATATACCTACAAATATTCAAGCACCTATAACTAATTCCACATCATCATCTTCTAACACCACTTTAAATATACCGCCAATTTCTCCTACATCTGCAAAAGTAAATGAAACTCAACTAGAAACTATCTTTGAAACTACTGCATCATCTGGAAATACATCCACACCTACATCTACTATCATGACTGCGAATATATCTACAAATTTATCTATAACTTCGCACGCAAATACAAATTCATCTACAGATTTATTTACACTTACACCTACAAATTCAAGTATATCTACAACTCAATCAACTATACCTAGTACTATTCTAACATCTGAAACTAAACTACAAACAAAAAATATGTCTTCTCATGTAGACAAATCCACAAATACAACTGGATTTACGTTAGCTGTATCTACAAATACAACTAAGACTATTTCAAGTACTATGGTATACAATTCCCCTTTAATTACTAATAAATCTACATTTAATTCATCTGTGAATACTTCTCTTACAAATACAAGTTATTATGTAAATGGAAACCACTCTAATGATAATATACAAAATATTGCATCTAATAACACTCTAACTGTTACTCCACTACCTGTCCAAAATGCTACTGCAAATGTAACATCTAATAACATTCTAACTACTACTCCGATACCTACCCAAAATACTACTACAAATGTAACAACTGATAATCCTAACACTCCCATATGTACATCAAATATCCCTGTGTTGATTGCCCTTTCATTGGGTGCATCACTTTTATTAATTATTTTCCTTTTCGCTATTCTTTATAAGGTAAGATGAAATTATTATAAATATATATTACTGCATTCCTTTTAATTATTTTTCTTATATATTATCTTATTATCATTAAAAATTTATATATTATATACTTAAAATTTTCTATTTATGTAATAGCATAGACGTACTAGATTTTTACCTGGTAAAGGATCAAAGAAAAAGAAAAAATATACAAAAAGGAAAAATTATAAAGAAAGTTCAATAAGTTATATAAAGACGCCTTTAGATATTCCATATGAATTACTAGAAAGTAATATTCAACTGAATAATGTATGTAACAAAACAAATAATTCATTATGTAAAGTTGTATTTGAAAATGAAATAGATAATACACTTAAAGAAAAATCAGAAGAAAATGCAATAAATATAAAAACAAAAAGTGATATTGCGATAATAAGAGAAAAATTAAAGTGGAAGATTATGACAGAAATATATACGATAGTAATAGACGAATGTAAAAAGGAGGAATGGAAAAAGGACAGGAAAGTATTTTTTGATATATGTTTGGAAGAATTAAAAAATGAAGGTATGTATTTAGATATAACATTAGAAAATGAGAAAAAGGATAATGTTACTATTATGTTAGAAAAAAAAAAACTTCTGTGGAAACAGTATAAAAAAGAACATGGAAAGATATTAGAAAAATGGAAAAAGGAAAAATGGTTTGAAAATTTGAAGAGAGAATGGAAAGAAGAGGAAGTTAACTATTCGGAAATAATAAAACAAGAAAGGATAATAAAAAGTAGAGAAAATGATTTAAATAATCCTTCTATGAAAAAACAAAAAATAATATGGAGGAATTGGGTAAAAAAGCATATAACGTGGTTGCATGATTCTGATGACCAAAAATGGTTTAATGAATTATTAGAAATATACAAAATAGAAGAAGAAATAAAAGAAAATATAGAAGGAGAAGATAGTGAAGAAGGATATATTAAAATAGAAAGAGAAGAGAAATCAGATAAAGATTCAAAGAAAAACAATTTAAAATTGAAATTATGGATTGATGTACATATGATGATATTAAAGGAATGTAAAAGAGAGGAGAGAATGATTATAAAAAATGAATTTCTTAAAACATGCATAGAAGAATTGAAAACAACGATAAATCCAGAAGAAATATTGGAAACACAAAAAGAAATAACAGGAAATATTATATTAGAAAATAAAAAAGAAGTATTAGAAAAATTAAAAAGAGAAAATTGGTTTATTGAATTGAAAATAGATTGGAATAGCAAAGAAAAAAAATATATGGAAGAGTTAATTAAAAAAAACTTACCACAAAATAATGAAGAAAGAATTAAAAATTTTATGATAAACGAGCAAAAAATTATATGGAAGAAATATTGGGAAGAAATTAATAAGAAATGGATAGAAAATGAAAGCATGGAAAAATGGCTTATAAATTTGATAGAAGAAAATGTAAATGATAATAAAAACAAAGTGAAAATAAAAGAAATAAAAGATGAACTTGAAGAATATAAAGAAAAAACAAATACGAGTAAAGAAGGACGAAAAGAAGAAGAAAAAAAAATGAAAGACGAAGAGATACAAATAAAAAATAAGAAAAATTTTTTTACATTAAAAAAAAAGCCAAAGTGGAAAACTATGATAGAAATACAAATGATTATAATGGAAGATTGTAAACAAAAGGAGTGGGAATTGAACAGAGAAAAATTTTTGAAAATTTGTTTAGATGAATGGAAAGGTGACGAAAGATTATATGGAAATATAGTAGCAAAAAAAAGTAGAATGAATACAGAAGAAAGTATTATTATTGCATTAGAAAGACAAAAAACGTTTTCTAGGAAATTGATAGAAAGACATAAGAAGATGATAGAAAAATGGAGAAAGGAAGAATGGTTTAATAGTTTAATGGAGGAATGGATAAAAGAAGTAAATATACATGTAGAAACATTAGATGAAAAAAAATCCATCGAAGGAACAAATAACATAGAGAATAATATTACATTAGAGAAGAAAAATGAAATATGGAGTCAATGGATAAAGAAACAAAGAAGATTATTTACACAATATGAGAAGGAATCATTGTTTAATAGGCTGTTAGACGAGTATAATGAGGAAGAAGATATGTATGAAAGAGAAGATGAACAAACAAAAGAAAAAAAAAATAATATAGATAACATGGAAAGGGATCCAAAAACAGATAATATAAAAGATGAGGTTAGTGAAGAGATAGAGAAGATAAACTTGATATCTGAATTGTGGATAGAAATACATATGTTGATATTGGATCAGTGCAAGAAAGAAGAAATAGAATATATGAAAAAAGAATTTCTCAAAACATATATAGAAGGAAAAAATTGCTACAAAGAGTTAGATGAACATGAAATAACAAAAAAAGAAATAAATGAAGAAGAAAAAGAAGGAATTATAAATGATATGATAGAGAGAAAGAAAGAACAATGGGAATCCTGGAAACGAGAGGAATGGTTTCAAGAAATGAAGTTAAATTGGCATAAAACAGGACATACAAATGATATAGAAGAATCAGATATATTAGATGATACAAAAGTGGGAATTACAAACTTTATATTTGAAAGACAAGTGTTTGACAGACAATGGCTAGAAAAACAGAGAAATTTTTTAAAAAAATGGAATAAACAAAAATTAAAAAAATCCATGAAAAATCAATATAAAGATGAACAAATAGAAGAAGAAAATGAAGAAAATGTTCTAAATGATAAATGGGATATTACCATATTATAAATCCTAGTACAATACATGCTCTACATGTGTATGTTTAATATATTAGTACTCTTTTTATGCACATGAATTAATATATTATTAATCCTCTACAATCTAATATCCTGTTGTATGCAAGTAGGGATAGAGAGCTAATCACACATATATTATAGTTCTAAAAAATAAAATTAATTTTTTTTCTTTTTATATAGATGTTTTTATTAATTATATTTTTTTAAATAAAATTTTAATTAAAAAAAAAAAATTATAGAAAAATAATTTAATTTACAAAGAAATATATTTTATTTAAAGGTTAGTTTTTATTGAAATAGTTTGTATTTGTCTTTTAAAAATTTTTTTTGTTAGATTAATTTTTAAACATAAAAAAAATGATTTCGAAAACTTTAAAAAAAAAAGGATCTTATCCTTTTTTGTATTTATATTAATATGTGTTTTAATAATTCACTAGTTGCCCGTTCAATGACCTTGAGTTTATTAATCGTCTATTGAATGACTTTGCAAGAGCATTGAACAAACAGATTAATAAAGAGCATGTAATGTTCTATTCATAAATTTAATAAATTTTAATTTAGTTTCAACTCTATGAACCAATAAAATGTGTTTATATAGTCTTCTTTCTTGAGCATTAATTTTTAAGAGGCATTTATTTACTTTAATAAAAATATTAAATTTTTGTTAAAAATATAAATTCTCATTAACTATTGATTTTAATTACACAAACTTTTTTTATAATTTTATGAATTATATTTACCAGTGAAAATTCGTTGCTCTCAAAATAATAAACATAAATAATTAAAAAAATACTAATTAAATTATATAAATACTATAAAATATGAAAATTTTGTTATCGTAAATATATCGTTTCCTTATATAAATTTAGATAATATTTGTCTAAAAAGAAATTTTTTTTTAAAAACTTTTTCTTCTGTTCTTCAACCATAAATCAATTTAAAAAAAAAATAAAAATATTTTTTTATTTATTTTAAATTACAAAAAGAAAGCAAAAAAAATTAATAACTATTATTTTTTTTTATCTAGAGTTTGTACGGATAATTATTTATTTTCTATATAGCTAATTCTTTTTATTCTCAAAAAGATTAGCAATTCCTTGCTGGATAATAAAAAGAATTATTAACTTTTTTAAGAGTGAAAATTGATATCTATATGGAAAATACATGGTAAGCCATGCAAGCGATAGATAAAAAAAAAAAAATATCAAAAGTATTTTTTTCTTTACAAAAGAGCATCTTTTGTATGGAATTTGTTCTTTGAATTTTAAAAGGTAAATTTTTAAGTAAAAAGAATAGTAAAATTTTCATTTGTGTACTATTTAAATAATTTTAATGTGTACTTTGTTAATTTTGTACATTTGTTAATTTTAACACAATATACATAAGTGTTAAACATGATTCGTAAGACTGTGATTAAAAATATATATAAGTATAAATAAATAATCAATGAGTATTTATATTTTTAATAAGTATAATGTAATTCTTATTAAATTAAATAAATACCTCTTAATAGCTAATAAATTTTCAACATAGTATATTAGATAGACACAGTTTACTTGTTTATAACATTGGAAATTGTTCATGAATTCATCAAATCCGTAGAGAGAACTCTACGTACTCTTAATTTGTTTGTTTAGTGCTCCAAAAAAGTCACTGAACAGAAAATTAATAAAACATATTTATAATTATTAAATATATTTGTATTAATAAATTTTATATCATTTGATTGTAATTTTACTGCAGTTACTGCAAATTCAGAGTAATTATTTTTATATATATTTTTCTTAGTTTTGAAAATTTCTATTTTTTATCATTTTTTTTTTAATTTATTGCTTTTTTTTTTTTCTTTTTTTTTTCTTTAATAAAATAGTTCACTTTAAGCAAAATTATTTTATTCATTTTCTTTTGTTTATAATGTAATATTTCTTTATCATTATTTTATCACATCATCACTAAAATATACATATTATAACTTACATCTCTACTGTATTTATTTTTATATTTATTTTAATTTTTTCTTTTTAACATAAATCTTTTAGTAATAATGTTTAAAAATGTAATGCTGTATTTACACATATAATCTAAAATTATTTCTTTATATTATTAGAATTTAAATTTCAAGTCAAATCGCTTTTTAATCAACGTTCAAACATATATAGTGTGCATTTAATATAGTTACGACAATAGTTGTAAATCATTTTTCATTATAAATTGTAATTTTAATAATTGGGTTTAATTTTTTTTTCATAATTTTTTTTATAGGATATCATTATTGTATGTACATAAGTTTCACTATATTCTTATTTTATTCTATTTTTATTGCTAAAATTGAACCAATTTATAAAATTATTACGTAATTATTAAAATAAATCCAATATGTTTTTTATTATTATCATTGTTAAATTAAATATAATTTAATTCAGATATATTTTATTTATAATAATAAATTTGTATATATTTTTTTTTTTATATTTTTCTCATATTTTTTATATAAGTAATGTTGCACGTGTAATTTTGTTTCATTTCTATTTTTTTTTTTTTTTATACAAAAATTATCTTTCATGTAGTATAATTATATCATCTCTATCTATATATAGATATATAAATAAAATTATAAATTTTAATAACATTATATATATTATTTTTTTTTTTAACATAATTTATATTATATAATTATTATTTTAATGATAGTTCTAGAAGCAATAATATTATAGCACATATTATATTTTTGTTTTCTTAATAACTCCTAAAAAAATATATTTTTTCATTGATATATTTAAAATTTTTTTTATTTATTTAAGGAAAAATATTACTCTTTGTTAAAATTTTTCTCGAATAAATGTTACTACTTTTTGTAAAATCTATAGTGAAAAAATTTTTTTTGAATGTTTCTTTTTTTTTTATAATTCAAAAAAAAATTATGAACAATAATACATGTCTAAATGAGTATGTTTTATGCACGATAAATTTTATGACAACACATTTTTTAAAGAAAGAGAATGAATATGGTTAAATTTTAATAATAAAATAAATGATTAAGAAGACTAATTTTAATCATTTTATAAATATTGTGTATTTTATTAGAAATTATATTTTTTATAAGAAATAAAAAAAAATAAAGTTATGAATCTAAGCAGATAAATCTTTTAAATATATTAAGAAAAATACTTACAGAAATATGAGGGATAAGGATTATTCAAAATAAATAAATCTTATATAAATTTTAAAAATGTCACTTCTATGCAACATGATATATATAAAAATGTAATTGAAACTTTACTATTTGCAATTGCTTGTATGTATTATACATAGCTGTAAACTTCATACCGCACATTGTAAGTCTTCTTTTGAGTCAATTAAAGTAAAACTTCTTTCAAGTGACTTTTCAAAAAATGAATTTACATATAAAAATTTAGGTCCTATATCAGATAATTCTGGGATAATTGCTCTTTCGGAAAATATTGTTTTTCCATTTGAATATATTCAAGATATTCATGTGCATTTGAGAACATATTTATGTTGCCTTAAAACAGTAAGCCAAAAAGTAAAATTATGTTATTATGTTAATGTAAATTATTTAGAAAAGTGCCTTTAATTTAATTATTTTGGAATTAACAGTAGAAAAATACACGAAATCATCAAGTTATTTTAAAAAATTTTAAAAATCCAAAACATGTAATCATTAGGTTAAAATACAACGATATATTTTTTAGTAAAAATTCCTGCCACATGGAATAGATATGATCTCTTTTAGATAATGTTTGCAGATGTTCCATGTGTAAGAAGGATCATAATGGTTATAAAACATGAGTAGATACTTAATTTAATGAAAAAGTGATTCATTTACAGGATCACTAAAAATTTCACAAAGGAAATGAACAAATGATATGTCTTTCAAATAGTTAAATAAAAAGTGATTTGAAGTTTGAATTTCTTCTTTATTTGTGTAAATATGAGAATATTAATAAATTAATTACATGCAAAAATCTAAAAATTAATTAATAAAATAATATAATAATAAAACCAGAAAGTTTAGTCATAAGGTTTATAAACTCTAGAGATACGCCTGATCAAAATAATATAAGTTTTTCCTCTTTTTTAGCATTATCTTTTAGGCCACTTTGAATTATTATAATTTTTTTTATGTGTTATATATATAAAGCTTTTGGATGAAATAGAATTAAATTACCCATAAGAAATTTATGTGTTGACGCTTTCATTGTGTTTATTTATTCATATGCATATATTTTCCTCATTTTTTCTAATATTTTGTCAATTTATAAAAAGTAAATATACGAAAAAAATTGCGTACACATTGAATTTAATAATTTTTCTATATTTTTTTAATTTTTCTTAGAGAGTCGATCTATAAGTAATACTGCAGACCTCTTTTATATGGTATTTAGATCAATAAATAGAGTTAACACATTTTATTTTGTGCATGATGAATCATGGGGACAGCGCACAATTATAAATGAGCATACTAATATAGTTACAATGTGTTCACATTAAAAAAAAAATACTTACACTAAGGTAAGTGCACTAAAAACTAAATAAATAAATAATTATTTTTTTTTTGTGTGATATATTTAAAATTAAAAAAAGAAAATGTCATATATATAAATTTTTTTTATGGTATATGACGCTGACTTAAAAAATATTTGGGAACATATTTTTTTATTATTTTCTTTTTGTTTTTGGGATTATATATGTATTACTAAGGAATATATGAGTTTTTTTTTGTTAAAATGTAATATTAAAGAAATTACATTTTATAGTTTTCAATGAACTAATTTAAAAAAACAATCAACTAATAAGCAGTATTTTATGTTTAAAAATAATAAATATATTAAGTTAAAAATTAAAATAAGTAATGTTTACATGCTCTTTATTAATTTGTTCCTTTGATACTAGCATAATCATTAAACAGACATTTGATAAACCAAGGGCGGAAATAAAAGAAAAAAAAAACATAATTATTACTTTATTAAA